GGGGGGGGCCTTCATCCAGCGGTGGGTTGACAAAGTGCTGTGAATCATTTTTTTGAAGAAATGTATAAGAGCAGAGGATTACAGATGCTCTCACTGAAGACAATGGGACACGTACCAAAAATAAACGTAACCACTCCCAATACTATTCATGAAGCCCCTTTCATCAGACATCTCATAGCAATCTACAGGAGACACACCAGACACTCATGATGACGATGACAATAACTTACGGGGAACAAGAAGGGGGGCAAAATAAGCAAATAATTGCGACAAACCATTTGCTAAATTAGCTCAAAGTTGAATAAACGCAAGTGTAGCGATCATATTTAAGACACGCTTTAGAAATGTCCAGACATCCTGACATCACGTCGGGGAGAGAGTCACAGAGTATGGGGAAAACAGCTCGGCAGCTCATTGCACCGAAGCCTCGGGCCAGGGAACGCAGAGCAGATATGCAATCCCCAGATCATCAAATTAAGGGTGCTGTTTGAGTGTTTTATTGAACCCAACCCTGGGCATCTTGCTCGAGTTTGGTTCTAATTGTTCCCCGGCTGTTGCTAATTCACAGATGACTCTTATTTCCCCTGTCGATTAAACAGGGAGCGAATTCAGGATGCATTGAAAAGGGGGTTGGGGGTGTCCAGCTAGCAAACACAATAGGGCTGAAGGGAATCATAAACTCGACCTAACCAATTTCAATTTAAAGCTTTCGTGACTGCAGGGATTCAGTCTTCTTGGTTCTTTCGGTAAAGTCACGTAGAAGGGAAGTAATAAAATAATAAAAATAAAACATAATAAAACAATTCACGACGTTTCGGCCACAACGCAAGCAGCCGTCCTCAGGTGAAAACCAGGTCTGTCGAGGCTGGTCTTCACCTGAGGACGGCTGCTTGCGTTGTGGCCGAAACGTCGTGAGAATTGTTTTATTGCGTTTTATTTTTATTATTGTATTACTTCCCTTCTACGTGACTTTACCGAAAGAACCAAGAAGGTCGACTTAACCAGTCAAGATTAAGCATACGAAAGAAAAAACCACTAACCGCATTTCCTCATTAACACTGCCATACAACAGAAGGAAGTATAACAGACTGACCTACTAAGGAAATGGTTCTTCTTCACAGCAGAGCCATTGTCTGCCTCACGAGCCGATTAGAACATCGTACGTACAAGCACTCATTTCTGCTACAAGGCAGCTAAGCAGAGACAGTAAATGGGGAACGCATGGATGTTACAGAGTGAACGAAAATTAACAAAAGAACTCACATTCGTTTGTAACACTGAGGCCTTAAAATGAAAAGTATACCACATAGGTGACATTTCACGCAACAGTCGTTCCCCACAGCACAGAGCGAGTGGACGTCCACTCTACCTCTCTGACCTCTGTATTCGAGTGCTATGAGAAAAAGGGAAATTGCCCAAAATGTCAACTATGATATGTTGTCCCTTTTAAGGCCGCAGTGTCATTGGCAAACGTGCTGCACTGTTTTTGCGATTTGTGCTTGTGCACCAACACAGCATGATAAAATAATTACTATTTAAACACGAATTAGAGCCATCGTATGAACTATTGAGAAAAGTAGGCTTCAACGGGACATATCGCTAAGAAGGTTGATGCAGCCGGTGGTCGAGACTAACACCAGAGTGGCAGCCAAAAGAGAGATCACCCGAGAGGACATCCGTCGTGGAGATCGTGTGATGAAATCAGTGCAAGCACAGGTGCTGTACGGATTGTTGCATCGCATGGCCACGGAAGGTGGTGGAGGCAGCTTAGGGGGAGGCCTTCAACCAGAATTGGATGTAGGTCATAGTGAACGTTGACAATGAAGGCAGTTTCAATAAGTAAAGTGTTGAGTTGTGGTTTCTGATTTGTGCGTGTACCACTGCTGCCCATGCAGTTCCATGCAGCTTATGTTCTTTTCAGTAGCTTTTATATTATTTGAATCGGGCGAGACAACATCCGGTCACTCCTGCTTCGTCGCAAAAGCCAAACACAGCCATGAATGGAAATATCTAAACATCTCAAATGCAGGACACTCATGAAAAAAAAACACAGCTTTCTTGAATAAATAGAGATAAAATAATTGTACGTTATCGTTCACTATAAACAGGCCAATAAACAGCAGAAGGGGCAGCAGTGGCAGCCCATGATAATCATATGGTCTGAACATCCCAAGGTGGACAGAAGGGGGTGACACTGTTGGTGGCCAGGGTGGCTGAGTGCAAACATGGCCCATCCAGAGTGGACAAATATGGATCAAATCCCATAATCCCACAGGCATGGCTCCACTGCACTAGAATTTGTGAGCAGACAATTCTCTGCACCTAAAGTGTCTCTTGAGTGTCCCGCCCCCGCTCCCCTAAACCAACAATCTGCCATCACACCACCGCCTCAGGATCAATGACATGCCAGCATACACCTCTTCAGAGTGCGCATTCCACAAAGCACCAATACTGTATTGTGCATTCCTAAGTGGCCAGTCTGATGATGAAAGGATAAAGGTTATAGATTTCGCATATGTTCTCAGGTTGCAAGTATTCGCAATTAATCGAGGGAGAATGTATGTACAGTATGTTGAACTTGTCGTACCATACGTAGCCAACCCAACCGTGCGAATCAGCATGCGAGAGGCTTAATGCAGTTCCTGAAGAAGCTCCCGGAACGTAGAGCAAAACGTTGGACATCGTGCCGAACAACACGCAGTAGAACCCGAAAAGCACATCGGAGAGGTGTTCAGGACAAACGGCAAAAGTCTTCGTGGTAGTAATAGTAGTACAAAACAATACAATTTCGACTTATATAGCGGTCTAAGTGCGACCACAACTAAGGACAACTCGCGAAAATTTTATCTAAAACTAAAATTACAGGAGGAAAATTAACAGCACAATTGGACAAACCAAACGGCGTGACCGGGAGTGACGTGAGGACACCCTTGAATCTACGGCGAAACCGAGTGCACGCGTCTTCAGATGTAAACACAGCCAAGGAACAAATTTGTTAGAATTGTAAAAAAAAACTCACATTCATCAATAACATTGTGGCCTGAAAATAAGAAATATATATATAAAATTGGCAACGGCCCTTCTTCATAGCCGGGCTGTTACCCACAACGTTTCCGATTTTTTATTTTATTTTGAAGCCACAGCGTTATTGACACGAAACGTGTTTTTTTTATTGTGCTCGTGCACCACTACCAACGCAGCAGTAGCAGCAGCATCATCTCCACATCTTTTTTTGTAGAATAGCAGCCTGGGCATAACAAGTCCATGGGTAATCTGAATTAATCTGGTAGGCAGGCAAGGGGACAGCCAGCCATCCGCCCAGGTCTTGATTGTAGCAGTGTAAGTTACTGTAGGCAGGCAGTAGAGCAAACAACACAAATTCCAACAGTGGGGACAGCAAACACAACTCAAGTGAGACTGCCCCTGACGGTGGTTGCGCGCAAGACTGGATTATGAACTCAACGTACGATTACACGGCAATGTGAAACCCACATAAAAGCGAGGAAGATCCCCCCCCCCCTCTCCCCCCGTAGAACATTTCACAAAGTTGAGTTTTGACGCAAGTGCTGTTAGCGAGCACCTATTGAGACCGGCACGGGGTGTGGTCCACAGCACCACGCCCGTCCGCCCACCTTTGTCTCCCCACCCAGTGCTTTTTTTTTTACACCCGAGGTATTCATTTATGACCGAGTCAACCTAGGGGTGGGCTCAAGAAACGGTTCTAGAGATTACTCGCCACTGATGCGAGCCGTGACCGGCATGCACGACTCCGGTCGCCGGGTGCGGCGGATGGCGTGCAAACCACTGCGCCACCGCTCCCCACGCACACCAACCCTGATGCGTGACCCCGTTTAAGTTGGAGGGGGTCGGGGGGGGGCAAGGTTCAAACAACACTCATGGGGGGGGGGGGTATGGCAAGTCAATGTTAAAGAAACTTTAACCAAATGTTCAGAGTTTAAATGGGAAGGGGGGGGGCTGAGCCTTCAACAGACTCGGGGGGGGTCGGGGGGGTCAGGGGGGTCAGAGGGAGGTCAAGGGAGGTGTCAGAGGGGGTCATGGGGGGTCAGGGGGGGTCAGGGGGGTGGTCAGAGGGGGTCGGGGGGGCTCAGCCACCTCCAGCATCCGCGACGCAGCAGCTAACGCACAGACACCGACAGCTCGTCCGTCATTCTCCACTATCTATGCGCTTGTGCCAGGTTAGGTACACTATTGAGGCAGGCCCAGCGCGCACAGACACACACACGTAACACGACAAACACACACGAAACAATTCCAAGACGCCAACATTTATGTCACCAGAAAGCCATTGTCGTAGATAACGACGTTATCAGCTCAGGGAGTGCGGGGCAATCAGTCCAGTGGTCCCGGTGGGGCCACCAATATTTGATTCGTCTAGCACGGTCGCCGGACGTTACAGCTCTCAATTAAATTGAAATAACATCAACGTGGGACTTGAATGAAAGCATTTTCTTCTTGGTTCTTTGGGTAAAGTCACGTAGAATGGAAATAATAAAATAATAAAATAAAACTTTATAAAATAATTCTCACGACGTTTCGGCCACAACGCAAGCAGCCGTCCTCAGGTGAAGACCAGGTCTGTCGGGGAGACAGCGTCTGTCTCCCCGACAGACCTGTTCTTCACCTTGCGTTGTGGCCGAAACGTCGTGAGAATTATTTTATTATGTTTTATTTTATTACTTTATTATTTCCATTCTACGTGACTTTACCCAAAGAACCAAGAATATGAATCCCTGCAGTCACGAAAGCTTTAAATCGAAATTTAAAGCATTTTCATTCAAGCATTCTCATTAAAACATTTCAAACCGCGTTTCAAATACGTGTTCAGTTCTTTGACACAACTGTTGAAAACATCTCGTGGTGGCTGTCAAAGGGGGCCCACCAACCCATAGCTTTTGCCACCAGAAATTGGGAGTAAGGGGTGGGGGTGGGGGGCTCAAGCTCATGGCACCCCCTGCCCCCCACGTCTCTCCCCTCCTCACCTTCTGGTCGACCACGGAGCAGGCGAGCTCCTTGAGCGCGGCCAGGCTGGTCTCTGCGGCATCCATGGTCACGTTCTCGCGGGCCAGTCCGACCTGTATCTGGAAGGAGACGGGGTTGGTGGGCTCCTTCGTGGGCAAGTAGCTGCCCGGCACGCTGGCCATGCTGCACAGAGACGAGCCCGAAGCCGACAGGCTGCTGCTGGGCGCTGGGCAGCCCGGCGGGTGGCCGAAGTTTGCGGGCCGCCCGCTCGCCAGACCCGCGGACATCGCTGAAGCTGTCGTCGTCCAGAGAGGTACAGCAGGAAACGTCTTGGGGAGACGGCCTCTCCCCTCTGAGCCCCACCGAGAGGGCAAGCTACATGAATGACTCGGTCTCTCTTCAAGAGTTCTCACTCGTCGGAGACGCGGATCACCCCCCCCCCCTCCAACCCACCCACCCGCCCCGCACGCTCCTACGTTGTGTGCTGTGTAATCTGTAGGTGTGTAGTGTCTGTGTGTAACGTCTTCTGCCTGTGTGTGCGTGTGAGTTCACGTCCCTCTGTGTCTGCCACCTCTGTCTGTGTGTAGAGCCCACTGACTGTCCCTCCCCACGTCTGCCCCCCTCTGTCTGCCCTTCCCTCTGTCTCCGCAGCTGTCCCCCCAACGGCGCCCAGCACACTCCGTCTCTGACTCGGAGGAGGCTCTGAGCTCCACGCCGCGCCAACGCGGAAGCTTCCGTGGGACCCCCCCCCCCCTACACACCCGCCCCCGTCAACCCGGTCTGGGCGGGCCCCGTGCCCTGTATGTTCATGGCGCCAGGTCCCACTCCTCCCCCTTCCTCCTCTTCCCCCCCTTCTTCCCCCCCCCTTCCTCCTCTCCCCCCCTCCCTCCTCTCCCTCCCCCCCTCCCTCCTCTCCCTCTCCCCCTCTCCCTAACCCTCCCCCCTCTCCCTAACCCTCCCCCCTCTCCCGCCCCCTCTCCCTCCCCCCTCTCCCTCCCCCCTCTCCCTCCCCCCTCTCCCTCCCCCTCTCCCGCCCCCTCTCTCCCCCCTCTCCCTCCCCCCTCTCCCTCCCCCCTCTCCCTCCCCCCTCTCCCGCCCCCTCTCCCTCCCCCCTCTCCCTCCCTCCCCCCTCTCCCTCCCTCCCCCCTCTCCCTCCCCCCCTCTCTCCCTCCCTTCTCTCTCCCCATCCCTCCTCTCTCTCCCTCCTCTCCCCCCATCCCCCCCCTCTCCCCCTCCTCTCCCTCCTCCCCTCCCCCCTCCCTCCTTTCCCCCTCCCTCCGCCCCTCCCCCTCCCTCCTCTTCTCCCTCCTCTTCCCCCTCCTCTCCCCCCTCCTCTCCCCCCTCCTCCCCCTCCCTCCTCCCCCCTCCCCCCACCATCCTCCCCCCTCCCTCCTCTCCCCCACTTCCCTCCTCCCCCATCTCATTCGCCTCCCCATCTAACTCCCTTTCCTCTCTCTCCACATCCTCTGTCTCTCATCTCCCCTCCGACTCGCTCTTCTGTCTCATGCCTGCATCGCCGTCTTGACTGTGTGTGTTGTTGTTGTTGTTTATTGGGCAGCTCGATTTGTAATGCCTCGAGATGTCACTTCGAACAACGGGGGGAGGGCACGCGATATCCAGCAACCGATGATACATTCCTGTGATGGTTGTTTGGTCATACTTCGCCACGTCGGTCAGTACGGGTTGGCGAACCAGCAGCGTGGGTGGTTTCTAGTAAGTCACGCTGTTTTTTGTACAAAACACACTCGGCCCAAACTTGCGCTCGGAGTCAATAAAGTTACACGGGGCACAAACACACCTGCAGTATCGAGATTTTAAGACGCACCCTGCAAAAAAAACGTTGGCCTTAAATGACAGGGCAAGAGATGTGCGTCGTATAATCCGGCTGCGAGATAACGCCTTTGTGTTTGTGTGGTGGCATGCACAGTACCGGACTGAGTTTAACATTCGCGCGTGGGAGAGGAAAAGCCGGAAACCAAAATGTCAGGAGAGACTAAGCGGTGAACGAAGCCTGTGGGGCCGTCCATAAATGACGTCACGCGATTTTGGACAATTTTTTACCCCCCCCCCCTCGTCACACGGCGTCACAAAAAGTCAGACCCCCCCCCCCCTCAAATATGACGTCACAAAGCTCTGCCCCCCCTCCCCCCCAAAAAAATGAAACATGCTTCAAATCGTTTTAAACTATTGTAATTGTAGTGAGTATTTAATGTGGCGCTGCACTCTGATGTGGTAGGAGAAAACATGTATTAAAAATTTATTTCATTAAGTAGAACGTGTTGTCTATATTTATTTAAAGTTGCGTATTTTGATGTGACGTCACATTTCTCACCCCCCCCCCCCTCGTCACACATCGTCACAAATGTCTGACCCCCCCCCCCCCTAGATGCGTGACGTCATTTACGGACGGTCCCTGTCGCATTCCTCTCCTGACTCCGACACACCAATTGTCTGCTTCGGGGCCATCCATTAGTGCGTACGCATGGAGGGGGGAGGGGGGAATAACACAAACTCGTACGCTTGCGTATGGGGGGGGGGGTCTACTGACAATGTGCGCATAGGAAACGGGGGGAGGGGGGGGTCAAACCTCGATAATACTTTGTCTACATTGGCCTTCAAATGAGTTAGATAGTCCGGCGGTGGACTATCTGTTTGCTCAAACACGTTAATATTATATTCTTGGTTCTTTCGGTAAAGTCACGTAGAAGGGAAATAATAAAATAATGAAAATATTACAAATATAATTTCTTTTATTATTTCCCTTCTACGTGACTTTACCGAAAGAACCAAGAATATGAATCCCTGCAGTCACGAAATCCTTAAATCACGTTAATATTATTAATCCTTGATCGTTTCTGCGTGGATTAAATATCGGCCGATCTGTAGGATTCGGGGGGGGGTGGGTGCGTCAGGCGGACGTACGCAGGTGGGGGGGGGGTGTAAAAAGTCCGCGTGCGTACAGGGAGGGGGTGGAGGGGTCAAGTTTTGACAGATTTTTGCGTACCTACTAAACGGATGGCCCCTTCCCACATTGATCAAGCACATCAAACAAGTCACGAGTGCAGGGGTCAAAGAACGACGAATAGAACCTGAGCAGAACTTTAGTTTTGTTTCTCAACATAAATACTAAGCGTGCGTGTTTAGTCCAATCGGCGTTATTGTTTTACGCAAACAGCATGTGTTTAAACAAGCACATTCTGGACCGGTTTTGGTCTCCTGGGTCTCATCAGCAAGCGGGTATTGTTAAAACATGCTGGTGGGTGTTCTCAAATTGTATTGGTAAGAGAACTCCGGTTACGCTTTGGACTCCGCGCATCGCAAAAGCAACACCAGCGCACAAAGTCGGTACGCGTTACGCGATGTGGAGCATATTGGGGGAGCGGTGGCACAGTGATTAGCGTACCGCGCTGTAATCCCGGGCAACCTGAGGCCGATTCCCGGCTACGGCAAACATGAGTGGCGAGAGGTACAGGAGTCGGCCCTGGGTCACAGCCAGAGGTCGCAAACGGGTTTTGATTCCTTACCCGTACCCGTACCCGGCCACACCAGGGTCGAAAACAGGTACCCGTACCCTACCCGATACCCGGCTACCCGTACCCGGCCGGGTATCGGGTAGGGTACGGGTACCCGATTGCGACCTCTGGGATGAAGCCATGTTGCAGGCGCGGGTGGGTTGATTCTAGGAACTTTAATTGTGAGAAGAGACAAGACGTTGGGAAATGAGTGACAAACGGTTACTCACCAGTGACTCACGGCCTACCCGTACCCGTACCCGGCCGCACCAGGGTCGCAAACGGGTACCCGGCTACCCGTACCCGGCTGGGTACGGGTAGACGGGTATCGGGTAGGGTACGGGTATCGGGTACCCGGTTGCGACCTCTGGTTACAGCCCCCGCGTTCGCCAAGCCGCATTGACCAGCGTGGTGAAGTATGGTGAAGTAACCTCCATGATCGACATTAGTCAAATGAAATTATACATAGCAATCATCGTCCTCCCCCCTCTCACTGCGAATAGTTGACATGAGCCTCCTGAAAAAGTCACGAGACTCGGGGAGGCTTTGCTGGGTAAACAAGCCGAGTACTAATTGGGACGAGTGGATTGATAGAGGGGTTGTAAATGAGTAGCAACCAATCCGTGTCTTTGTGCACGATTCGACGCGCTGTTTTCACACGTCTGGGTGCTTCTTCTTCTTGGTTCTTTCGGTAAAGTCACGTAGAAGGGAAGTAATAAAATAATAAAAACAAAACATAATAAAATCATTCTCACGACGTTTCGGCCACAACGCAAGCAGCCGTCCTCAGGTGAAACCAGGTCTGTCGAGGCGACAGCATTCAGACGCCTCGACAGACCTGGTTTCACCTGAGGACGGCTGCTTGCGTTGTGGCCGAAACGTCGTGAGAATTATTTTATTATGTTTTATTTTTATTATTTTATTACTTCCCTTCTACGTGACTTTACCGAAAGAACCAAGAAGATGAATCCCTGCAGTCACGAAAGCTTTAAATCGAAAAATCCTTCTAGCTCTTGCACACTGGCCGATTTCATCGCTCATTCACAGCGGTGGACGTCTTCTCAGGCGTGTTTGTTGATTGGGATGATTTTCAATAAGGAAGACCTGCATTGTTACAACTCGTCACATCCTCGAGGAAACTGCATATTTTCGCCATGGTGCCAGACGGGCTTTCTTTTTTTCTATTGTTAGGGCAGGTAATTTGGAAGTCTTCAAGGTGGAGATTGTCTCCAATTTCACATCAAAGCACAGCACACCACACCGGGGTGTGAACTGTGGGGCGAAGAATCCAGCGGCCTCCCCCTCCCCTGCTCGCACGCCCCCGTGGTTGCTGCGCTGGTCAGCGAGGGCGATGGGTGAAGGGGACACGACCCCCACGTGAGTCACACGGTGCAAGGTCCGGCCCCACGCCGCGCGTAAGGGTGTGGCAGGGCTGCCCTCCTTGCTCTTCCTATTACACGGGGATGGAGAAAGACGCGGGCAGGTAGGGGGCATGCAGGGGCAGGATGCATGCGCACTGCCTCACAAAAGGTCACGCCAAATAATCTCACTCTTTGCGAGTATCTATGAAGGGTGGGTGAATTGGTTGCATGGTGAACTTAACTCTGGTTCCCGTCCTTACATAGTATGGACGGTACATGCTTTAGATGGATCTCCTCTGCACGGGGTTTCACCCTTTCAAGAGTTCGGTGCGATTTAACCCCCGTTGTCCCATACACGTTTGCCAGGACACGTGACTTTGCAGAACATATTCGTGCAAGCTAGTAAGCACCACACGTACCGGTCGGTTATTGGCTGAAATTCACAATTCCCTTGAAGTCGAGTCACCAAGTGAAATTCAATGACACATATTGCAAATGTCCCCGACCTGGAATCGAACCAAGGTGCCGAGGAGGGTTTGACAATTGTCCCCGCCTCGCGATTCTAATAAATTGTTGCGATGAATGGTAGCACCACGAATGATAACGAGAAAACATTACATACGGCATATATAACATTCGAAAATATTGATTCTTACACGCAATTATATGTATACATCGTGAGCTTCATGGGCATGACACGGTGAATCGTAGCAATACGTATCTATGGACGTACTTTGCCCAGTGACAGCAATATGCTTACGACACACATTCCAGAGATGGAAATGTTTCCAGTGACGAAATGGCTTGGAACCTCGACAATCGTAAACACATAAATATTGTGTCACTCCGAGGGCCGGTTGCTCTAAAAGGAATGCGTGTTTATGTAGCTATTCATGAGCTTGCGTGCTCGTTAAAGGGGCCAGCGACCATGAATTTATGGCGCCATCAAAACTTTGGGTTGAGACGGTCTTCACCTAAGGCGAGCAGAATAGTATTTTTTTTTTATAAAGGAAACAAGACAATTCTTCCTGTCGCCAGTGATGGTCAATCAGTAAACAGATGAATGTACTCGCCAATAATAAATGGTTATTTTCATTTCCATAAACTCAAGAGAAACCAGGGGGCCAATAAACTTCCGCAACCTTTGTCGTTTCCCAGGCATATTCTGCAATTAGACATAAGGTGGCGAATCTACAGGCAAAGGCACGTACCCCATCCCCCGAAAGAGCATTCATGCCACCCATGGACTCAAGAGGCAGCTCCGAAGGGTTCGGCTGGATAGGGCACCTCAAGTTCAAGTCAATGAGATCACCTCGGCCAGTACTGATGATGTCGACACACCTCATGAGTGCTCCCCCTTCCTTTACTACCTGTCACACGCCGTTATCAGTTGCACAGGTCAAGGTCTGCTCGTACAGTAGTGTCTGGAATTTTTAATCGAGGGTGTGAATATTGGGCACCGGCCTAAAGTTGGCAGTTTCACAAATCTACGCGATCCAAAAACATTTTCCTTCTAAGCATGGTGGCACGTGATTTTGCGTGGTCACTGTTCGTGGCCTACATGTTCAAGCCGTAGCTGTTGTGCTGTCAGTGGTGCCCAATTTATTTACATTCCACACGCGCTGTAGATGCGTGCGTACAGGTATTGCCCCGACAGCCGGGTATGTTCACCTCCCCCACTTCGCCGGAGACAAAGGAGACCGAGTCACCTGATGAAATTCTTACGACATGCAGAACACTACGCAATGGAAAGGATACCTCGTGGCACCTCATTCACTTACTGGAACTCACTGCTGGCTTGTCAGTCAGACTGAACTAGATATGACTGGTTATAATAACAGCTGCCCCAACAGAGCTCCAGAATTAAACACCTCCGAGGTCAAACATGACCAACATTGTTTTTTTAAAGGATTCTGAAGCTCCCCCCCACCCGCCCCGAGTCGTATTTTTCTCACGTATTTGCCTTAAATCGCAAGCCATGACCACACATTTGGCAAAGAAGAAAAATAGCTGCACGATTGGATTATTTCCTACAACTTGCCAGGGCTGGGTGCCACTGCTGAGTTTGGAAGGAATCACTCCGAGCCAACACTACTCTTCCCTGACAATGTTTTTTAGTTTGGCATCATTTGCAAGGATAGGTCACGTTATCCTGTGCCGTAACTCATTACTACTATGATGAGCCAAGAATGTATGTTTGTGTGTAACGCAGAAGTTCGAGCAGAAATCATTTTTTTCGCAAATTCGCTTAAAGTTTCACGTTTCTTTATTGAAAGTGAATCTAATAAATAATTCTACGCAGCAACAAAGTGGATTTGGTGTTTTTATTTCTTCAGCACTTGAGACAAAAGGTAAGTCTAATTTATGCTTCTAAATTATGGTAAAATAGACATTTATCGGTGATTTCCCAGATATTGTATCGATTCCCAATTAATTTCAACCCCAGCGACCGAAAGCAGAAGAGAATAAAGTATCAGAGCAGTGAATTTGAACAAATTGAAGATCAGTATATACAGCGCTACAGTGAACTGCAATGAAGTGTTTATTTACTTAGTTTTGTGCAAAATTCACTGCCATTACATTTACACAAGATACAATTATACTCTGCTCAATGTTTTCGTAAATATTACAGCTTCCGTTCAAGGACGGGAAAAAGGCGAGTTACTACTATAATCACCCAGGAATGTCTGTCCTTAACACTCGTGACGTCACTACACATCGACCAGCCCCCCTCATTAATATTCATGAGCAGGTGACGTCCTCCAAATGGACCCCCCCCCCCCCTTATTCATAATAATTAGCGGCTGACGTCACTCCACATGGGGGGGCGAGGCGCCTCCTCCCCCCTCCTCGGCGTCAACTCACAACCCTCACTACAAAGGCAGAACCCTCACACGTCACGCGGTCTCCGTCACGCTGTTGAGATATCAAAGTAAAAAGGACGTCTTGATGAACAAGGGATTATAACCTTAAAATGAAATAGGTCTGTGTCACCGCGCCCTTACAAATTGCACGCGCATTGATGCAATGACTATCATGTCGCGGTCTGCTTTTCGCTTACAAGTTTAAGATTTACTGCAATACACCCGTCCTTTGACGGGCAAATGGCTGCAAGCGATTAAAAATAGTCTTCAGCGACTATCGACCCTCCACCCGTGAAAAGTTACACCGATGGTCTCTCAACTGGTGACTCAGTGAAACTGGGATCTCAGTATGTCGAACTTTGTTTGCACCGTACGTATCCAACTGTGCTAATCGGAGGTGTCACTGACACTGGCGCAGGGCACTGAGACAGTGTCACAGAGATCCCAGATTCAAAACAAGTTGATGGTCTCAGCCTGGTCACCAATTACTGTGCTAAAACAACATGTTTTCATAATTGTTTTTTTTACCCTTCTATCTGGCAACAAAACTGACACCTTTTTTTACAAGGAATCATGTTTACATAGACCACAATACCTGCAGTCATAATGCAAACAAAAAACATAACTCTGATAATGTGCACTGTCCTTGAAGTTGATTGGTCCACACCCGAGACAGCTTTCCTTAGAGCCTAGTCTCACATGGGTTGGACCAGATGACGCCAAAAGGCGCACAACTCAAAGACAATGCACCATCAGCGTATGAGAGCTCGGGGTAAGCAAAAAAAGGTGTCAGTTTTGTTGCCAGATAGAAGGGTAAAAAACTATTATATTTTTTACTGGCAAATGAGGTTCCAATGGTGTAACATGTTTTCACTTATTAGTCACTCGCATGGCGTTGCAGAGATAAGCAACTCATTGTATTAACATAAATTAAAGTTAAATATCTATATCTAGGATCTGTATCCATTCAACGGCGTTGGCTGCGAGCTGGTGGATTGCTGTGGTGCAGCCACTCAATGCTCTTGATGGGACCGCAAGTCGCTGACCGTGTGTCCCATTGTTTGTTCCACTGCGCAGTGACAGGTAGAACTGGATCTTACCTTCCACGTGTGTAGATGAGAGCATCGGCACCATAACCGACACGGTGGTATGACAAAAGGCTGCACATTATTATTTATATACAAGTCTTACACTTTTTTCTCCTCCACCACCACCACAAATGGACAGGCAAATTCTTTAGTATTTCCCATGAGAAATGTGAAAAAATATTAATCGTGCAAACTCCAGCGTTTATCTGTGTAATTGAGCCAACAATGCGATGAATGTAGATACAGGACGTTGTCCCGAAATTTATTTAACCCTTTGCCTGCTTTGAGAACTGAATAGCAATAAAAAAAAAACCTTGAAAGGTTGCTTACCCACCCCAAGACAAGGGCAGTTGCACAAGTGATTTGTGTGCAATGTAAGAGCCATGTCTTTTTTTACAGAAAAGATTCTTAACACTTGCTCTCGCAACAGTGACGCAAATTTTAAAAAAAATTGTGACACCTGCGGAAAGGACTTATGAAACCGTCTTGTGAACAAATGTCACCTATTTTTACATCCACGGAAAAAAAGGATGTGATACTCTGTAAAAAAAAACTAATATTTTTTTGGAACCTCTGGCATGGAAGTTGAAACAATGGATACACTTCTTAAATCCCTCCCACCTCTCTCCAGCCAGGAGTATGTGTATACATCTCGGCCGTCGGCAGGTCGTGTGTGCGGTTGGGTAAAGTGTGGACTACTCCCACCACTATCAAGACGTCTGACTGGTGTGAAGAGATGAGAAAATATCCTCCAGAGGGGCTCTTGAGAAATCAATTTATTTTATTTTTTACCACAGAAGGCCCACTGAAAACTATATAGCTCTTTTTCAGAAACGACCTGGCCAAAAATAATAGCTAAGCAAAGTGGCTTATCGTGTGGAAATGAACAGCAGCCAAATACTCGAAACGCATGTTTCTAAATGTGGAATGAAAAACCGGAGGACAGAAAAATCCACACGACCACGGAAGAACATGCAAACTCCAAATATATAGACATCAGGGTCGGGCTCAAACCCACGACCTCCTGTATACCAGGCGAGGTAATTAACATCTCGCCACCGTGGCGCCTACATCCCTCTTGTGGTCCTTTACAAATTATTTTATGTTTAGTTACTTAAAAAAATTGGGACATTTCCCATATTTCGAGGGCCACGGCGGGAAGGCAGCCGGGCACTCACAGGCACAGTGCTGTTAAGGAAACCAGTGCCAGGAGGGGATACACCCACTAGCAGTATTGCCTAAAACAGACGCCTCTTTAAAAACCGAAACTTTGAAAATATGTATTGATTGTCCACCTCACAACTCAATGCATTGCCATCATTCAGGTTTGCAAATGGATTCGACAATCTATTCTATTATTTGAAATTGTGGTGAATGCAGCCGCCTCTAGTTATTATCGGGGATCCAATAAACCTATTACAGGTAACAAACCAAAAAAAATCAATAACACGCGTGATTTGACGAATCGTGAGCTCAAGAATCAATACTAACCATTGAATCCATGCATCGTTAAACCATTTACTGCCGCAGCCATAAACATTTCTGCTGCAATGCATGGCAACGGCTTGGGGAGGCCTTGATGCAGCCGTAAGATTTATCACGGCCGATGACAATGCAACGTTCATGACCGAGGCGGTGAGCAGTTTGAATTGTTTCAGTTTTCACCATGCGAGGAGGTACCTCGCAGACTCCATCTGTCCTCGCCAAGCGCGCCTGCTAGCTGATGGATCTCAGGCATGTGCCGCCACCACCGCCGTCACACCCGGCTGTAACTCGGCGACATGCCGGCACGCGTCACATCAGGCTAAGTGCCGTACGCGGCCGAGCGAATCCTCGTCACGAGAACAATGCCTGTCACGCGGCGAGCTCAGGCAGCCAGGAGGACTGCTCAGGAATGGCATTTGTGCCGCACGCCTCCACGTACCCACTCGCGGCTGGATAGCGGCCCGAATTCTACCTCGCCGCGCCAAGGGCTACGAGAGCACGTGCAGCCTGACGCACGCACCACGCCCCAGCGTCATGGCAGTGACGCTGGATGAGGCAAGTGGTGACGACAGTGCAGCGCTGAATGTGTGGCGTTGCTCTCCGATGGCATTTGCTCTGACAAGACTGATGTGGCAAAACCCGCAGTTACAATAGCTAGATGTTCATAATTTAATACCATAAACCAGGTTGGATTCTGCTACGTATCATCACCCCTGACTCACAACCAAAGGAGCTACAAGTTCAAATGCAAATTTTTGGGGGTGCCTCGTGGAGGCTGATAAAATAAGCACTTTAGTAGGAAGGCACCAGATGCTGTCATATAGAAAGAACCGTGCCACAAAATAGATTCGTGATTTAAGATTTATTTTTACTTTGTGGCAAATGAAGCACCTCTAATGGCTGGGTCATACAAATACGTACCCTGTTGCAGGAAACAACAGCAGTTGTAATAGCTATAAACTTCCTTGACACGTGGAATTTATACCACTTGGCTTACACACTTCGGATTTACAGAACCTCTAATTGCAAATGCATCTCTTAATTTGAGGACTGCCAACCGCGATTAACACAGCCCAAAGCGATTCCTGATGCATGCCATGTATTTCTTGTCTTAAATTAATGGGAATGTGCTTTATATTTTGAGTTCACCCACAAACTATCGATGTGGGAGTGAAACGTCAACAGGGGAGGGACACTCCCATTGCTTTCACCTTCACTTGCTTTACATTTTTTTTATTTAGGTTTTTGTCGTTCAGATATTAAAGTGTATGAAATAATTTTCAGTCAGTTTAAATAATCAAGACACTTAGAGTGTCTTTATCACAAAAGTGAACTCATTTCAGTGAGAACTATTCAATCAGGTGTGTGCCTGCCAAAGGGTAAACTTGTAAAAGCTTAAAACAATTGTTTAAATGACTGCTCTTTTACAACACAAGCAATTAAAGATGTAGGAATTTCCCAAAAGTCAATCCAGCTGTAAAATGTTAAGAGAATATTTACTTTTCCAGGAAGACCTCAATGGGCCTCGGTACTTTTTTTTATAAGTATTCTGCAAGCGACATTGCTCAATCCTCTTTAAGAGTGTATTGCTTAAAAGTTGGGAGTACGTAGAGAAAACTCACCACGGCATACGTGGCAATAACACTCAAAAGTCCATCCAGATGGGTTCACAAACCCACTCGCTGTAGTGCTACCTCCTGGCCACCTGGCAGTCCAGCAAGATTGGCAGTCTCACAACCCAGACCATTTAGGGCAGGGGTGGGGGACCTTTTGCTTAAGCAGGGCCGTGTAGGACTTTCAAACACTGGTGAAGGGGGGGTGGTGGCACCACACTTTGACACTCACACACCTCACTTGGTCACTTCTGTAGCTGCAAGAGGCTTGTACAGTGACAGAACGAAGCACGCAAAAATGATAAACAAGGTGTTGTTGTCAGGTCAAACATATTCCCTTTCTCGTACCCAATTCGTGCGGCTAGGATACCCGCAGTGATGGATACTGTTTTGGGGCCGTTTCTGAGTGGTCGTCCTTGTGTTCCAGCAGGTCGTGTCAGATCTGCGAACCGTGGACTCCCCACATCTGCTTCACATAATCTTCAGCAATACAGGCCACTCTCGGAGAGGACCTCACGCGGATTCCATCTCTCAGTTCAGGTGGCTACGTGGCACTTGCTCAATACTGGGGGAAGTCAGGGTCGACGGTGGCGGCCCAGGCAGCGAGGCCCCCGGCCACATCCCGCACGCTCACGGCCTCGCCGGCGTCCGCCAGCGCCCGCCGCAACAGCGTCACGGCCACCTGGGAGTCATTGCCCTGCTTGCAGATTGTGAAGACTGCACACGGGACAGCGGCGGAAGGCAAGAGAGCATCAGTGGCGTGCTCGCCCGTTACAGGGCACTGTACCGCGAGCGAGTTTGTGGCGAGAGGATCAGCAGCATACTCACCCGCCAAGTGGCGCCGTTAACAAATGAACTCCTGAAGTTGAACCTGCCTCTCAAAAGCAATGGGGTGCGCTGAAGCTAATAGCCTGCATCAGGATGCAGCCACCACCTATTCCAATGTAAAAATCTGAGAAAGGCCAGCGACGGCATGCGACTGTGGAAATCCTGATCAGACCACGGGCCACACCGTGAACTATTGTGAACCTCGGAAATTCAGCGGATGCATTGAAGACATCCATTCAGCTGCCCACCCATGAGGCTGTGCTTTGGCAATCAGCCCTGGACATGGCCTTAGGGGTTAGTAGACAAAAGTAAAATGCAATAAATGGTCTTTAAGAATAGCGCACAGTGTAGCTGCTATCACCATTTCCAGCGCTTTACTTCTCACTGAATATTTTCAGACTCACTGGTCGATTGGAGTAGGCATGTGCCTCATGACCACAGCCAGAGTGATATGTATACTGGGCGTCATGTGCCGGGTCCAGACATTGTATACCATGGACCACATAATAACGCCAATGCTTGCTTCTATCATTCACTTGCAGCATGTCAGATATTCCCCAGGCTACTCCTGAAGCCATCCACTGGCTCACTCGCCCACCTGAAATTAACATATACATGTGCTGATTAACTCTTCTGATGCCCTCTAGTGTTAAATCCTAAGGCTCACAGTCTAAGAAGCCATTGCTCGGGTTCTTGTTCCAGTTGTGTTCGTATTTTTTTCATATAATCACTGAATACATTGTCATAGCAAATATAAAATTTGAATATTACCTGCAGCGACATTCTTAAAAAATACGATAACTGGTCTTGCCTACCAAAACAACGCATTTAAATATATTTACGTATTGTTTAAAAAAAAAACTATTATATAGTTGATATGTATTGTACATAAGATGTGTAGACATCAAATGAATGCAGAATGGAAGAGCAGCATTTCTCAAAATGTGGATCGCAACTCATGGCAAGAGGGGGGGGGGGGGGGAAGGTCTTTTGTCATTAAAAGGAAAGGAATTTGTCTAAACACCAAATAAAAACATTTAAGTCGAGGGTCAAACTCACTCGCATTCAGTCATCCGAACTATGAGGGCTACGACATTTGCAGTGCAAAAACTCCCCGAGTGCAGCCCCGTCACGGACGACCCACTCCACCGACTGCAGTCTGGGTGGTGTCAAGCTCTGCTCCCCCCCAGTGGAATCACACCTGGTAACTCGGTATCACTCCCTCCGCCGGTTGCCTTCCTCCTCTCCTCCCAAATCCTCTCCAGCAGCAGCTCCATTCCCTGTCCAGGCGATCTGGCCTCCGGCGACGACTGTCGTCCTCCAAACCCTAGCCCGTCGGCGCTGGCCACCACCTCGGAAAGCCCCGCATCGTCATCAAACTCCACCGGCGTCTTGAGTTCTTGGCCGGGCCCGGCCGCGTTCCACCGCTCCAGCCTACTCAGGGGTATGTCTGTGGATCGCAAGTTAAAGGCGTTTCTCCTCCTCGTGTAGTTTCGTGCAATAAGTAGGTACGCAGTGTTACGCCTCGGTGAGTTTTGTTGCTTAAAGATCGCTACGGAAGAGCGTGTGCGGTAAAAGGACCCAAGGCTGCGTCGCAGTACAGGATACTCAGGGAATGCGGCAGATGGCAAATGTCCACCTCCACGGTGGGGCGCACGTCCAGTAGCACGTGCGTCACCTCCTCGTCCAGCAGCGCCTTGTACTCCTACGCACAACCACATCACGCCACAACAACAACGCAACTCCACACCATGACACAACCAAGCATTGTGCAGCCACGTCGTTCTGCAACCACACTACGCATGCCATGAACACAACGCCAAGCAACAACCACGTCACATCACAACAACACCACAACACAACTCCACATCTTGTCACAACCACGCTACACCATGACACAACCAAGCATTGTGCAGCCACGTCGTTCTGCAACCACACTACGCATGCCAAGAACACAACGCCAAGCAACAACCACGTGACATCACAACCACGCCACTTGACCTCCATGTTCCCATGAACACAAAAATCAGACGTGAAATGAAACACTCTTGCACAATGGCCCGGTGACCACAATGTCGTTACACCGGACTTTCTTTCACCCAAAACATTAAGAATCGGCCCTTGGCAGGTAACGTTCCAAGCCCGAATATTTTGGTGAATTTCCAAGATTTGTGGTTAATGATTCGATGTTATATGTTTGTTGTCTAGTCAGTTCAGTTTTTTTCCCTCACCATTAGCACAAATTACATTGGCACATACTTTACATGAAACGTAAACAATACATTCTGACGTGCACAAATCGATGTTAAGCGAAGGATCGTAGATGCATCCTAACATGTCTAATTAACCGTGAGCCGCACTCACCTTCACCGTTACTCTCTCCTCTTTCTTCAGCAGCATCAATCTTCGGCACTGCAAACACACAAAAAACACAATCCTGGCAGTTAAAAATATGTATGGCAGAGGTGTACGGGTGGCTCAAGTACTGACGTGGCACAAGTGAGATCCTGAGTTAAAATCCAGGCAGACACCCATAAAATAAACCAGATTCTCAACTATTAGTTAATGTTCTCAGGCCCAGCCAACAATGACTGGCACAGCCTGGGATAATGCATGCAGGATCGAATCACTGACGAGCCACGCGTACAGCCAGGGAAGAACCGAGGTGCCTAACATCACCTTGTCGGTGGCGGCGGCGCCGCACCAGGCCTCGTAGTCAGGCAGGCTGGAGGCAGTGACGGACGGCGCTTCCCCACACGTGGCACATCCCACGCGCCGTCCTCGCAATGACACGGAGCGCATCCGCCCCTCCAGCCCATCCAATACTAGCAACCGCCCCGAGTAGCTGGCTGCAACGGTGGTAAATGATGGCGGCGGCAATGGTGGTGGTTGCAGTGGCAGTGATGGTGGTGACAGTGAAAGTGTACGTGGTAGTGGTGGTGATAAGTGGTGTTAGCAGGGGTGGTGATGGTTGGTGAATATTATGATGATGGCGTAGGTGGCAGTGGTATTGAAGGCGGTAGTGATCGTAGTAGTAGTGCGGCAGTTGTGAAATGCAGCTCAGGAAAAGTGACTCAAACAATGTCACAAATGTATGCTGTGGACACGGGTAGTTACATGCTACACACACGCACAAACGAGTACCGACATACGACACACACACACACAAGGTGAGGATACAGCCCATGCTGGCAGCAACCTTCAGCACTTCCAGTGCCTGCAGGCTCCCCATGATTCCAGGCACTGCAACAAGTAAACAGAGCAGCTGCACTCACACCGGGAGACTGGTGGAGAGGGGAAGATACAAATTCACCACAGTGGTCTCAAGAGACATGAATGCGCGTATCCAGCTGCAGGTTTCAAAGCGTCCGTACCCACTCCCAGCACACCCCCGTCTGCGCAGTTAGTGACCGTTTCCGGCGGTGGTGGAGTCGGGTAGAGGCACCGGTAGCAAGGGCCGCCCTCATGATTGTACACGGTCAGCTGAAACGCACACACGAACGCGCACGCACGCACCAACACACACACACACAAACGTCATCTGTACATTCAAAGATCCGTCATGTAGCTTGTAACAAACTGTTGGGGCAAGGATTGTTAAGCACGCACATATTAAGGCTACATGGCACACGAGAAGCAAAAACCAGTTCAGTTATCACTCACCACGGATGTTAGGCACAGCGGAAATCAAACTCAGGTCTCGGGGTTCACAGCACAGTATGCCAACTACCGCACATTCGCTCTACCTGCTCTATACACAAGTTATGCATGAATCGTACTGTCAAACGATAGAGTGATTTCAAACCCAACGGCACAGCTATCAACCGAGAACACGGCTGGCGATGGGACTGCGCGTCACCGCCGCAAGGTCACGCATGCATCACCTGTCCCTCCATGCGCAGCGCGCTTGCCGACACGAGCGGCTTCCCCGCGAGGACGCACACGTCGCTGACGAGGTATCGCGTGGCCACGTTGTCCGAGCAGTCGGCCACCACATCATACCTGTCCCGTGATGTAAGTAACCGGTGTCGCGTTCTTATTATCCCACACCCTTGCGCTCATTCAAAAGTTGGAATGTAATGATTCGTGGATTAGAATTTATGTCACCCTCACATATGTATTGAATCGTGTGTGAGAAATGGTTAATTATCGTGGAAATTATATTCAAATGTTAAATTCTGTGAATAAAGTTGTATGGATGACATTAAAACAATACAAACAGTACAACAAAATGGGACAAAAATAACCAATCTTGCAATGAACCACAACCCTGAATCATTCAGTAGTGAATCGTTAATTGCCAATCACACTGTATTTATCAAAGCACACGCTTTCATATGTGTATGTGTTGTTTCGTCCCTATGCAAGTCATTCTGAATGCGAGTCCATGTGACCCTGTGCACGGATTTTCATGCATGTGCCAAAGATAACGGCACAGGGATAATGAGTGGTTAGGTGGCTCAGGTGAATAATGTCAAGCACAAGCCAGTACTTTTGAGGTGGCTCTAAATCCAAGTTTCATCCATCCATGATTAAACCGGGTTATAAATGTATGGTCTCAACTAATATAATTGATTCCACAAAATAATGTTATATTAAATCTGGTTAATCACATAAATTTAAGTATTCCGGCTCTGAAAATGTAAAATATATATTTTACCGATGTACAATAAATCCTCTTTGAAGTGCATATAAAAGGTACGCCACCAAGTGTAAATAAGAGGCTACTGAAATGGCTTCAATTGGTCAGTCGGTTTATATTAGCTAAGGCCCATTGCGCTAAAATCTCTTATTCAATGGCTACGCGGCCTCCAAAAGTATTTCTGCGTCATCACCGTTTGGGGACACTAGCTGATACCGTGTAGTCCTTGCTGCAAGATATCTGAATGGAAATGTCTTCGTCTCCTGAAATGCCATGGATAACTTCACAAAAATATAACCGGGAGCAAAAGAAAAATCTACATTTTCACCAAGGATACTGTCGTACGAGTTGCAGAGCGTTCTTTGGAGACAGGAGCAGGTGGTATGGCACAACCTCCACAGTCGAGTTCAGTCTGATTTTGGTGACAAACCACAAGCAGTACATCACTGGTGCGAGCACATGTGCACAACGCAGCACTAGGATTGGTCAAAAACAGACACCGCAACCTTGCATTTCTATAACGTTTCCTCCCTTCCCGGCAACTGTTGTATTTATGCCCCTTTTTAAATCCTTTATATTAAGTTCGCTTGCTTGCTTGCGTGCTTGCTTGCTTACGACCATGCAAATCTTTCGGTCGTTTTTTAACCCACTTCCCGTGATCCAATCGAGCTGACATTTTCCACACAGACTCGTTGTGCGAGACAATTAATGTTCGTGAAAAAAAATTCCCAAAATTTTACACTTTTTAGGCAAAAAAAATTATTTTACATATATTCAAATAGAACTCATTCATGGCTTTGGTTGAACGTCACAGTGTAAGAGCCCAGAGTGTAACCCCTTCACAGGCCGTGGCGGAGTAGCGCAGTTGGTAGCGCCCTCGCTTCCCATGCCAAAGGTCGCGGGATCGATCCCCGCGTCCTCCACAGGCGAATATATTTTTAAATCCTTTATATTAAGTTCGCTTGCTTGCTTGCGTGCTTGCGTGCTTGCTTGCTTACTTACGACCGTGCAAATCTTTCGGTCGTTTTTTAACCCACTTCCCGTGATCCAATCGAGCTGACATTTTGCACACAGACTCGTTGTGCGAGACAATTAATGTTCGTGAAATTTTTTTTTACACTGTTTAGGGAAAACAAATTAAATATTTAATTAACAATTGCTTAATACTGGCAGACAATCATCTGACCCATAGGTGGCAGCCATCTCAAGCCAGAGGACGAGAGGACTCTAGCCGCCACGCATATAAAGGATTTAGAGTGAAAAACTTTGTTTTTACGGGTTATACTTATTCCAAATTTATATTAAGAATAATTCGGCCAATAATTTTTTAATAACATAACATAACACACTAAGAGATAATCAATAAATGTTTAAGCAAGAATAATTTTTTTATCCCGATTGATACGACTAATTATCATAACTGCCCACATTAACATAATCGTAAACATTATCATAAAGTAATACGATTATCTCCATAATTAGCATAATGTATGCACACACTCACACATTCGCATAATTTCCGCAATTTATGCATTTCTCAATCTTCATGAAAAAAATTTATTTTTATCAAAATTTCATAACCCGACATATACAACACAACCCCCCGACCTCTGCCCGGCCCCACTCACTGTGCAACGGCGCAGGCAGCAGAGGCGGCTTTCTCCACCCCGACACGCTGCTCCGTGTGCAGCACCTGCCGGTGCAGGTTGCTCAGCTCCACCGAGTCGTGGTCAACCAGGCCCAGACGTCCTGCGAACACAAAGGTGAATATTACATCTCATGTAACCTACACAGACTGTAGGTGCAGTGCTGTAAATGAGTGGCCATGTGATGTATAGAAATGCTCACTTGCAGTGCCAAGCAACATTGTGCTACCACTGGTGGTCCCTTTCAAATGTTTGAGGTGAAATTTTAAGGAAGGTGCTTTCAGTTTCTGAGGTCTTTAAGCAACATTTCAATGAAAATATGATGATCATATTATGTATTTTTCTGGCTGCTTGGAGTGCAAGCAGGCAAGTGTGCGGTAGTGACATCACTGCGCACATCCACGAGATGATGTTGCCCGCATCCCCACAGTGTTGAGTCGGGTTTGTGCGTCGCGCTGACGTCATACATCCCCCCGCCCACCCACCCTCCACCCTGGCCGTGTATCCCACCCAAATTCACAGGCAGTGATAGTTATTATTAAGAATAACAGCAGCGAATCCTACCAATGCCGGCAGCGGCGAGGTATTGAGCAACGGGACAGCCGAGGCCACCACAGCCCACGACCAGCACTGATGTATTTGAAATCTTCAGCTGCCCTAGACGTCACGTAACACACACGCACAGGGACAAAGAATCCTCCAATTTCGAGATATTTTGACTGTTTGAGCAAATGCTTTGAGCGTGCACTATAAATTGGCCAATGGGACACGTGGAGTGATCACAGTGTCGCGGAAAGGCCCGTACCCTTAACCCCGAGCTCAGGCAGCACTAGCTGCCGACTGTAGCGGCCAATGTCGGCCCTGTTCAGTTTGCGTTTCTCCGGCAGCGGTGGCAACGGCCGCACGTCCCTCAGGGCCGCCAGAGCTGGCGCGCCGCTCGGCTTCTGGAACACACGCAGCCAGGGGTGACAAAAGCTCACGTGTCAAACTGTCCATCACACAACCACACAAAGACACACAAACATGCCCAGTTGCATAGTTGGTACACTGAAGATTTTTTTAATCCTTTCACGAAGTACTTATTTCCAAACTAATTATACTGCTTAATTAAATTTTTGGGGGGGAAAATATGGACGCACATTTTTGCTTTGAAAATGAGTATGCAGTAATAGGGTTTCAAAATTGGCAACCCACTGCTTACATCGGTAGGGTTGGCAAGTATGTACATGTATTGTATAATAATAATTAATACAAGTGGTTCGCGCATTGCAGTATGAACCCAAGAAAATAAGTTATATTCCCGCTCATGGCCAACACTAGTGAAGATTATCTGAACTAATCCTGCACCTCCCCTCGGTCGACTCAGCCTCAAATGAGTACCTAGTGTGGTGTGTAAACATCACCATTGGGGAGACAAATGCGCTCGCGTGTGGTGCTGGCCACCCACCCCCTCGTGCGCTGTGTCACCTGTACAGGTGCTCGCTAATAGCACGTGCTCCAAAAGCCTGTTTAGGCAATACGGGGGATCTTTGTTGTTTATAGACGTGAAAGCATTGTAGAGTCCACCGGTAGATGTTGCACTGCCCTCTGCTGCCCACAGGAGCACCAGAAACAACCCACGAATAATGCAAGGATGACAAAAACTGTGCGTCTGAGATGGTTCACAAACCCTCTTGCTGTACCGCCATCTACTGGTCACCTGGTTACTATCCAAGACGGGATACACGGAGCGTTTACAGAGTTGCTGATCTACAGGTGAGCAAGCTTGAAGTATTTAAAGTAGTTGTTGTCAAGACACTTTATCAATTATTTTACCGTAAGTACTACGTGCATTCACTCACGAGAGAAATAAGCAATATTAAGGTCAGCTGGTGTATATGGGTGGGTAGAATTACAAATTGGCATTTGAAGAAATCTTTGCGTCAAAGCGCTGATTATTGATCGCTGTGGAACCGAAGTTGGAATCCGTGTTGAAGCCTCCCGTCATTTAAAGTGGGTTCTCATGTGTAGCGAGATGATGGTCTCAACCCGGTCACCAACAGCTGCTAAAAAGTCCACCTTCCTACAACGTGACTCCCTACAAAGTGGTGCCCGATTTTATCGACCCTGGCAGGATTAGTGGCCGAATCAATCCCCAAAGCGGGCTTTGAACTCGCAACCGACAGTGGCAATTTCACATTACTCTGGCAGGGACGAGTCCATGACCAGAACTCCGCTAATTTGCCATGTTTAGATGTCACACAATAGAAATAGACGGATCCCAGCAATATCAAAACACTAGTTGAACGTCAACACTCTCACATGTCGTGTGCTACGAAGAAGATCCATCTCCAGAAACGTAAACATTTTTTTGCACACTGAATATTAATGCAGTGTCAGTGACAAGTGTTTTTAGTTTGTAATCTGACACATGGAGGCATAGCTGTACACAAGACAATCAATCACTCCGTTGAGAAGTACGTAAGAGGGGGGGGGGGTCATCATTAGCAACCCGTGGAGGTGGTCTATGAATGGATCGCGTTCTTGCAGCGCATCATATCAAGACGCGAACGTAATCACGAACGCGGCCACCGCTCCCCCTGGGGGGGGCCTCCACCCCAGGCCCTCTGTGGATCAGAGCGGGCTGGATGTGTGGGTTGTTTGGCTACACAGAGGGCATCGACTCACCACCACCAGCATCTCCCGCTTCTCGCCGGCACCTCCCGGAGCGTTGGAGTCCATGGGTAACCCTCCCAACTACGCCCCAGTAGCAGCAGCCAAAGCAAGCAAATCTGCACGTGTGGGTGGTGATGTGTGGTGGTTGCCACTGTCACGGCGGAGCGAGTTCAAGCTCGCGGCCATCTTACTCAGGGACGCCCCGCGCGTTAATCTCGATGGCAGTGGAGGTGGAGGGGGTGACGCGCTCGTGACGCCATCGAGACGCGCCGCGTCGTGCCCGCTGGACGCTGCTGTTGAACTGGGCGAGGTTCCCTACGTAAGATGGCGGATTGACATTCACCCCTCCCTCTCCACACCCGCTTCTCCGCCCCGCCTCCTCCACCTCGCCCCTCCCTTTCTCGGACCTTCGCACGTGATTGGCTCACACGTCACAATGGGTTATTCATTTGGTGATCAGCATAAATTGTGCACGCACGTGCGTGCGCGTGACATCCTGCACTTTTTGGGTGCAAGAAATCGCGGTACCTGTTAGGGTCCATTCATTTAGGATGTAACGCAAAAATATGTAAAAAATTGACCCCTCCCCCCTGCGTACGTACGGTTGACCCCCCCACCCCAGAATCCTATAGAACGGCCGATATTTAATCCACGCAGAAACGATCAAGGATTAATAATAATATTAACGTGTTTAAGCAAACAGATAGTCCACCGCCGGCTGCATTAAAGAATGAAGTTGCGTACCTTGAAAAAGTTTGTCTCGTGTCCGCTAGGTTCAAACGCCGACTGAACCCAGTCGAACAGGTGACGCATTATAGGGATTTCGTCAAGAGGCGCAGTGTCAGGCTGCAGCACAGCAGCGTGATAGCTGCAGTCTGCTGGGCTGCCGTCTCAATATCCACAGCGTCGCTGGCGTCGTCATCATCATCCATTTTCGTGACAAATACTAATTGGCCATGGCGGGTTTAATGACACATTTTTATTTGGATAATATTTCTCGCGAAAGCCTACTAGGTATTAAACTGACATGCGTTACGGCGTGTTGATGATGCTGTGGTTATTGCGCCATAAGTGATTGGTGAATTACCACCCCACGCATTAACACGTAGCAGAGGGGACTCGGCTGGTTGATATGCAGTTGGATTACTTTATACGGGACAGTGATTCATGGGTTCCAGTTGCGTGGGGGCAGGAGTGCCTTTCCTCCTCCCCCGTGGCCAAAGGCTACGAGATGGGACCCCCTTGACAGCCATCATGAGATGTGTTTTCAACAACAGTGTAAAAGAACAACACTTATTTAAAATGCGGTTTTAAATTCTATTTTTTATGAAAATGCTTCAACGTCATTAGACCTCCTTTGCCAGTACCAAAATATAATAATTGGGCCAAGTTGTAATTATGTGTGTCTGCTCAAAATGTTTAGCGTACTTCCCGACATGCAACAAACTTGAAATCTGCCATGTGGGTTCTTTCCAGATTGTACAGAATGCAAAAATTATAAAAAAAAATACACTTATTTTTTTGGAGGGGGAGCTCAATATGTATTTTTTTGCACGGTAAGTGAGTGACCCGAGTTCGATTCTCGCTCACGCCCACCACCGGTGACGATTATTTGAACCGGTCCTGGGCCTCCCCTAGGTCGACTCAGCCTCAAACGAGTAACTGGTGTTGTGTGTGAACATCGCCACTGGAGAGACAAAGGCGGCCGGGCGTGGTAAATCCAAGTCCCGGGCGAAGCCGGGTAGTAAAGCTCGTTTAACATAAGACAGCTCATTACAAGTATTTCTTTTTTAACTTAAACATATTACTCTTTGGTTCTTTCTTCAATAACACTGCCTTAAAAGAAAATGCATAAAAGGCGACGTTTTGGGCAATGGCCCTTCTTCAAAGCACATATAAATGGAGGTTCTCTCTGCCCTTTGACGGAATCCTATGAACTATCTCGGTTGAAGCATCAACTCTTCGGCGCGTGCCAAATTTCAGATGTGTAGCCCTTAAAAAAATCTGAATCGGAATCTTTATTGAGACTGGAGGAATCCGATGCGCTCTGAAGCTCTGTCACAGATGTACAGTAGGGACGAGTCAGCAAGTGACATTCGATATCATGGGTGGCATCTTCAATAACACAGCTGCGAGCTGTCCCAGTTAACCGCAGTCATCACAAGCCCAGTAAACATGATGATGATGAAACGTTGAGCCAACCTTGGTCCCAACGGTTCCCACCGCATGCCAACGTTGGACCAATATTGCATGTTTACTGGAAGATTGCCAAAGCCTTGACATGTGGAGGAGGAAATTGTAGTTTATGACCATATCAATTATATGTATTGCCGTTATTTATTAAACTTGTAGTTGTAAATGCTGTACACATTTTCCCCATTTTGAAAGTTTTCATTTACTGACATACAGTTGTGGTTTTATAGGTGTTCAGATCATCGGGGCCTTGGAACTGTTTGTGCAAAGCATGACATAAGCTTGATTTGCAGTACTTTAGTTATTATTACATGTCATTTAAAGTATGTTTGCTGGCGTGCTAGAACATGCAGATAATATGTAGGGAATTCTTGAGCACGGAGCTCTAAGCTAAGAAATAAGCCTCCATTGCTGGCTCAAAGTCACTCACAGTAATGCAAACCCTCGGGCGCTGTGGTTAAGCCCTCATTGGGTTTACAATTCACCTTTTTGTTTGAATAAGTGCGCTTTATTCTATTAAAAACAATTTCTAAAACCTCTGGGATGAATGCAATTGTATGTGCCCTTTCAAACAAACTCATCCTATATATGCGAATAGGATAAAAAACTAAAACATTGTAAGCTTTAGATTTTGTGGAATAAAAAATGCACTTAGGATGCATGAAAACAAAGTGTTGTTGAAATAACCCAGACATGCCAAACTCATCGGCCTCATCAAACCCGCACTGACCAGTGTGGTAAAGTATGGCCAAATATACTCATGACTGGCACGGCGTGGAGAGGTATTCATCCAGCAGTAGATGTAACAAAATGGATGTACATGTACACAAAGTATCATACTATAAAACAATGCGTACATCACACAGTATGGAATTCCAGCAAATGGCTCTGGTCTAGCACCAATTGGGTTGAGGCTCAAAAGAAATCCGTCCCTTAGTGTGGACCAATCAGTTTAAAGGACAATGCATATATTATCGTGTTTTTTGTTTGCATTTGACTGCAGGTATTGTGGTTAATGCAGACATGAATCTTGTAAAAAGGTTTCAGTTTTGTTGCCGGAAAAAGGGGGAAAACCCTGTTATTTTATTTTGGTACTGGCAAAGGAGGTCCAATGATATGTACATCGGAGTTATGTCAGCTACTTCTCAATACAGCAAATCGATTGTGGCGGTCTCTAGCGGTTGCAGTAGTGGCGTGCACCCATTGCATACAGCATAGACTAAAATTATAAAAGTTTTGCTGGCTGGCTACGTGGTCGTGATATCACGCCCGGAGGGACGAGTGGGCTCCAAGTACGAATCGAAAAATAGATTCTTACGCCACACACGATTTGATGCGTGTGTGCGAGCTTTAGAATATCAATGTTAATGCGCCTTTACACCGCGAATCGCTAGTCAGTCTTACCACAATGGGCTCTCAGAACCAACTGGCTTTTAAAAGATACTAAAACTGTACATTGTCGTGAAATGTAAAATCAACGTTCCACTCGCAGACGCAATCATAAAATGAGGACACAACTACTGCCGCTGATGCCGTATATATTAAAGTAACTTTATTATAATGAAAGGCAGGCAATCAGCCATGCTGCAAAGGCAACTTGAAAGTGTGATTGCAAATTTTTTTTTAAAATCAACAAAAAATACTATAGCTGCAGACGAGTAAAATGTAGCAAATAACTGTAATAACTTAGCAGGCCCGAAAGCTCCCCACAGCCGGGTACATCTCCATCTTAACTGGTAAATAATACAATGCGAGAAAGCACACGTGTCCGTCACGCTTCCAGAGTTCCACTTGCTTCTACGTACCAACTGCAAACCAAGGTGGTGGATGTGACGACTGAGTGGTTGAGCGTGGAAGGTTGGGTGACTCTCCGTTGGAAGTGGTTCCATGTGGGTCGAGTGTGAATGGTTGCGTGGTTAAAATGCGGATGGCCGAGTTTATATGGCTGAGCGTTATTGAGTGTGCATGCATGGTTGAGTGTGGATCGGTGTATTATTAAACGGCTGGTGTGTGCATGGTTTTATGATTGAATGGCCGGGCCTGCATGGATGAGTGGTGAGGCATACATGCCAATTCCCTATGACAGCCCGTCATGTCAGTCACGCTCTCTTCCACGCTTGGTCCATCACAGCAATGTCCCATTGAATGTGTGATCCGTGTACCTACATGAACCTGCAGTGACGAAGCCACTCGAAACTTCTGCCTTTGTGTTGCTAAGCATGGCTCGGCTGATAAGGCGCCGAGTACCAGACTCGACTGGACATTTTTGTTTTACTGCGAATTGCTCGGGATGAACGAACAATGGGAATCTTGCAGCTGCCGTGCAACCTGCACGCACGGTTTAGACGACCCATCATGACACTGCTGGATATTATGAGCTTAGAGTCCAGACAGACAACTCGTCTTTCAGACAGACACGTTGCCTGTCATGGTACAATTGCCCAGCAGCCATAGCAGGTTGTCTGCTATGAGCCCTGCGCTGAGGTTTGGGAGTATTCACGTGACAGTATAAGCCAAAGGCATCGAAGCAGGTCCATGATATAGCTTTGCGTTTACGGCTCAAGGTCACTCAAGTCCATGCTTGCGTGTAACACATCTAACCCAGTCCGGTATAACGTGAGAACGTGGCGAATTGCATAGCTTTATATTATTGTCTGGAGTTATTCAAAGGCTGAAGGAGGCATGGCAAGTTGGGCAAATCCTGAACCTCTGACCACTTCATTGTGTTTTTGTTCAAACGTCCTAGAAGACGAGGAGGCCACTTTAGAAAACTAGCATTCAAACAACATCTATAACGGGGTACAATAAAATACAGCAAAACAAACTTAAAGCGGTAAAGAAAGCCACGTATATAGCACTCTTTATGGAGGAAAAAAAACCGTGGGTCAACAATTTGCACAAATGTGAGCTTTGAAAAGTTGTTAGCAAGTTTTTGGTTTAGTCTTACCTGGACGAATGAAGGACTATGTAGGTATG